ATTTTGAAAGTGAACTAGACAGAATTTATTGTTTCACTCAATACCCAGAGCAGTATGTTGTTCCACTGAACTTCCATGTTTGTCTCGTAAAATATCCACTTCATCAGCCTGCACTCTATTAGGTAACATTACACATCACAGATTAGGCTCTTTCTTTAGGAAAGTACTCTGTAATTTCACATCTGGCTGGTTGTAAAAGATTTCATGTAAACAGGGAAGAGTAACAATTAGATACTTAAATGACTGCTTATTTTGCACAGACATCACTGTAAACATCCTGCTGTTAAAATAGCGTAGCCAATGACATGTTATCATGTAAAACTGAGGTAATCAACTCATTACCTTCCACTTCATTTCGCCGGTGCCTGGAGTCCTACATGAAAATAGATTTCAACAATTGTTTGTGTAGTTTGAAAAAGTCACAGGGATATTTAAAATTTGTTAGAATCACTGCTCTACTGTTATGTCTACTTGCTTTTCTGGCTCACTCTTTGAGGCATGACTATTCCCTTCATTCGCTCTTTACAAACACTACTTCAGTGGATCTAGCAGGTGGTCTTTTATTTATTTATTTCAGACCGTCTCACTTAGAAACCATCTAGCCCCTAAAAACATTCCCTTTCACATGGGCCGTTTAGCTAAACACAGTCTATATTGTACTCTCTGTGCAGTTTAACCGCTGCACAGCGACAGGTGCATAAAGATGACATTAGCGGAGATGGATGTACTGGTAAAGAGATGCTCACGTCTAGAAAAGGATAGTTGGTCTGTTCGGTGACTCGTCAGAATTCAGAGCACATACAAGAGCTCCCCAAAGACTCCAGAGAACTGAATCATGCCAGCTGGACATGGCACAGGGTTGCCAAATCCTCTGTCCAGCGAGCGCTTTGATTCAGACACGCTTGTGAAAATGCAAAACCACACCTAAAGCTGTATAAAACAAATAAAGATGTAATTCAACACAAATTATAAGTCTCCGCATGTAAAGAATAAACATGCCCTCTAAACACCGTGCTGTGGGTGTGCAAATTTGTTTTACAGCACTGTTTGAGCATTTTTGTTGGTTCTTTCTACAGAACAGCAGGCAAGCCTTTTTGTTTTGGTCAGTTTAGGCGTACGTCTCTACAACCAGAGTTTTCAGCAAGAGGAGAATTTGGAGGTCTGTGGAGGAGATTATGCAAAATTATACAACTTTTTGTAACTTTATCTATCGGCCTATCTGTCTACAAACTATAAGATCAATGAGAATATGGGGTTTAGGCTAACTTAAAGGGTCATGAAACACCTAAAACCTTTTTCAGATGTTGACAGTCATATATATGTTCCACGTTGCTGAAAACACTATTGGGACACATATATTTAGCTAACAAGTAAAAATTGGTTGTTTTTGTGTTGTTTAGAGCAAATTCATTCTTCTGGTTTAAAAAGAATTTTCACGGGGGGTGAGATCATTGTGTAAATTGACCCCACGTTGTGTTGCCATCTGTTATTCAAACAAGTAGTAGAATTGTTTGGGGACATGAGTAGGGCTGCACGATTCTGGCAAAAATGTGAATCACAATATTTTTTGCTTAAAATCAAGATCAGGATTTTCTCACGATTCTGTAAATGTAAAATAAAGGTTAATATAATTAGCCTATTATTATTGTTAATTCTCAAACTTATGCTAAATCAACAATAGTAATATTAGGCCAGTGTGTAGGTATACTGTTGCTAAAAATTATAAATTTTGTACAGACATTATAGTGGACTTGAACAGACTTTCAATGTGTCCTGTTTGTGAATTCACAGTAAAAATGATGATATCAGACTATAACTATTCATAATTATAAAGTTGATTTATTATGTTCAAGACATGTGCTTGTCATTTGTTATTGACAACATTATTAGACCATTTGTGTTCACTGGTAAAATTAGAATTTTGTCCTTATCAGATTCCTTCTTGCATTATATTCAACATTATATATAGGCTAGGGTTGTTATACTAACATTTATAAACATGTATTTTCATACACAACGCTATGAAAGAAAAAAACATATCAAATGTAATCATAACTCTAAATGTGATATGATCATTTAAATGATGTGCGGAAAGGTTTCACTTTCACTTCCGAGTGCTGCTCATGGCTGCTGTCACTGTGATAAAACACCGACACATGCAAATCAAACCTCCCGCTCGACCCTCAAATGATCGCGCTGTGCAACAAACTGAACGTTATTTATAACTTCATTACCTGATATTCACAGCCTATGCAGGTTGTGTTTACTAAAGTAGGCGTCATGCGTGCACGTGCACATTCTTGGTAGTAAACAAACAACTCGCGTGTGATTTCGTGGCCACGAATACATCATTACATGAAGACAAAAATGACATTTTTGGTTGAATTATACCTAATAAATACAGTATGTGACGCTTTTAATGCCTTTGAAGGTGTCAATGTTCGTGTGAAGACTTGTGTGACTGCCTTGCTTCTCTCCTGACATTGAAAATATAATTGGCTGAATTGTAGAAAAGCTGAATTAAGATCGTGTGTAGGGTCGAATCGAGATCGGGATCGGGATCTTTTTTCGATTAATCGTACAGCCCTAGACATGGGTCACCAGTGTTGCGTTTATAAATGTGCCTCAACAAACGTTTTGTTTCCATTTTCTTACAAGTAGAGTACAGCTTGTTTGTGGATCCAAGCTTTTGGATCACAAGTGGTCTTTTGGTGGTCTGTTTGGATTACAGTGGTCTGCTAACACGCAACAAAAGTAGGTTTGTAAGGAACATTTTTACCAGAGAGCTTTTCAAATCTGAAAACGTTGAAATCCGTATTTGCCACTCGTCTTTTTTTTTAAAAAGAGATGCTGCTCTCTGAATTACAGTCCATCTCCCCTGCGTCTGTGTTTGTGTTGTCGCTGTGAAAATCAGCATGTGCAATAAAATTCCCCTTTTCTTGCGAACCCTTCCCTCTTTCGCCACTCGGCACTCCCACCTAAACAAAGCTGGACTCACCCACTTTCCTGACTTTTTTCAAATTAGAGGGGTGAAAACACCGTGCAGAGACAGAGGGGATTTCATGGCCCTTAAATTTAATTTAAATCATGTCCACTAGTATTTACTATATATATATATATATATATATATATATATATATACATACACACACACGTTTCTTTTTTCTGTGTGATCATCTGTATGTTTTTATGATATGTAACATTACCGTCATTATAAAATATATTATTAAAATATACATTTTAATGTAGTTGTTTTGAAATACGGTGCAGTAGGTAGTGCTGTCGCCTCACAGCAAGTAGGTTGCTGGTTGGAGCTTTGGCTGGGTCAGTTGGAATTTTTGTGTGGAGTTTGCATGTTCTCCCCGCGTTTGCGTGGGTTTCCTCCGGGTTCTCCAGTTTCCCCCACAGTGCAAAGACATGCGTTACAGGTGAATTGGGTTTCCTAGAGATGGGTGGCAGCTGTAAGGGCGTCCGCTGCGTAAAACGTGTGCTGGATCAGTTGGCGGTTCATTCCGCTGTGGTGACCCCGGATTAATAATAAGCGGCAGACAATAAACTGATGTGTTGAAATTTAAAGTACAGACAAATTACATTTGAAATAATCTGCAGTTCACTTCAAAATAAAATGCAATCAATGTTTATTTACTCACTTATACACTCAAGTGTTTCTAAACCTTTAGGGATTTTGTTCCCCAGTGAACACTGTCACAGAGGACACGACCTGACAAGTCTTGTCATCATTTCATGTTCTAAAAAGATCAACAAATAATAATGACCTAATTAGAAAAGTGTCAGAAAGTAGATTTTTTTCTGATGAATCATCTGTTGAATTACATCCCAATCCTCACAAATACTGCAGAAGACCTATAGGAACCTGCATGGACCCAAGGTTTTCACGGAATTCAGTCAAGTTTGATGAAGGAAAAATCATGGTTTGAGATTGCATTCAGTATAGGGACGTGCAAGAGATCTGCAGAGTGGATGACAACATCAACAGCCTGAGGTATCAGGACATTTGTGCTACCCATTACATTACAAACCACAGGAGAGGACACATTCTCCAGCAGGATAGCACTCCTTCAGCCTCCACATCAAAGTTCCTGAAAGCAATGAAGGCCAAGGTGCACCAGAATTGGCAAGCCCAGTCACCAGACTTGAACATTATTGACCATGTCTGAGGTAGGATGGAGGAGGAGGCATTCAAGATGAATTCAAAGAATCTTGATGAACTCTGGGAGTCCTGCAAGAACACTTTCTTTGCCATTTCAGATGACTTTATAAATAAGGTATTTGAGTCCTTGCAGAGATGTGTGGATGCAGTCCTCCAAGCTAATGGGAGTCATATTCATTATTTTTTTAATGACTTTATATTCTATACAATAAAATATTTATGTTAAGTGACAAGACTTTTGTCTAATAAAAGTCAGATCTTACTGTCCTAATTAAATAATTAAAAATCAAGGCATGATCATATTTTATTTTGGTTAGAAAAAAAGTGTAATCTGGAGCCCTTTGCCTTTCATATAAGACACTTCTGATAGCAAACGATCAACTAGAATTCAATGTATTATTTGTTGTTCCTAAAATTTAGATCGGCAACAGGACTGGATCACCCGGAGGAAACTTTTGCCTCCCATCCGCCAGTTCTATCCCAACAAACACAAAAGAAGATATTTTGAGAAATGTTGGAAACCTATACAAAAACAAATACAATGGAAGTTAATGGTTATTGGTTCCCAGAATTTTTCAAAATATCTTCTTTTTGTGGAGAATGTCAAACAGATTTGGATGTGAAGTGTGAGTAAATGATGACAGATTTTTTTTTTAATTAAGCACACAGACAATTAAAGATCACTTAATTTAGTGATTGAATGCTCTTCCAACAGCATTTAGATGCTTCGATTTCAAAAGGCTCAAGAATTTAGTGTTAGTGTGAATTTGCACAATCTGGCAACGGCAGTGGCACAAAGAACTTCCTCTCCCTCTTTCTCATTTTCTCACTTTCTCACACAAGGCAGTGTGTCATTTTCCCCTATGAATATCCATGAACTTACACTGGAACAGAATGCAGTTAAATGAAATGACATAAATTAGTGGACTTGCTGTTCTGGAAATAAATGTTTGCTTCTTTCATTTCGACGCAGAAATCTTACACTGTGGTATGTTGCCATATGAATTTTATAATGCAGTTCTTTGACTTTGTATGACTGTTTTTCTTTCTCTCTGTGTTCAGTCTCAGATCAGCGATGTTCCTGCATATACTGCTGAGCGCCATCTGCCTCTGTGTCCTGTCATCCTCCTCTGTCCTCAGTTCTGCCACAGGTGTGTCTCACCTACATTCACAACACAGGACATCATTTATAATCAATAAGAAAAGGGCACATGCAACACACACGGAAAATCTCTTTATTGGTATCTATGATTCCTTTATGATAAACCAGCATTTCCACTCCACAAAAATGTTCTTTATAGTGGAACAGGTTCGTTTAAATAATAATCTAGAATAAAAATATATAAAAATATGTAAAATTGGGTGAACTGTCGCTTTAACACTTATTGGCACATGTGTGTGTCAGTATTTGTGTTCAAGCAAAGGTAATTAATTAGAATATTGAATAAACATTGGGAATGAGCATTGTTCCCATTCAGTGTGTTCAAGAGAATAATATAATCTTTTCCTGTGAAGCTGGTGTGATATATTAGTAATTAAAATGTATGTTCCTGCAAGCACTGAAACACTGGTATCTCTTTTTGCTCTATAATAAATGTGTTGTGCTTCAGAGCAGCAGACACCACACACAATAGGAATCACTGTCATGTTACATTGACTTTGGAGCAGTGCCTGATGTTTGGGAACACAATTACTGCATGTCAGACAATTTTGCAAAAGGTAATTGTGCAAAATCAGTTTGATGATGGAATTTTTCTTTGATACTTTGTAGAATAATTAACTCCAGAATGAGTTATGGGAGATCTGGGTTGATCAAAGAAACTGTAGATCAGATCACACATGAAAAAAATGAGGAGGTATACAACTGAACAGGCAGGCGTTGATGGACTTGGACTCTGATCGCTCATCTTTGACCATTTTTATTCTCATTTGGACTGAGAAGTCAGTGAGCAAGATTTCTTTATGGACACAGAAACTAGTTGTGATGTGCATAGACTGATAATGTGTTGATCATGTCTTTCCTTTGGCTTACTCTCTTCTTTATCAGGAGATGCCACAGCAGAATGATCCACTCCTGTTGATCTAGACGAAGTTATATGTATTTAATACAGTTCAAGTCAAAATTATTAGCTCTCCTGTTTTACTTTTTTAAATATTTTTCACAGTATTTCGATAACACTTTTTTCTTCCTTCTTATTTGTTTTTCTTTGGCAAATATAAAATAAATCAGTTATTAGAAACATTATGTTTTGAAATAATCTTCTTTTCTTTAAACAGAAATTGGGGGAAAATAAGCAGGGGCCAATAATTCAGGAGGGCTAATAACTCTGACTTCATCTGTTTATTTAAAAAAATCCGTTTTACTGTTTTTGTCAAAATAAAATTAATTATTAGAATTAATGTTTTTTTATAAAAGCAAAGAGTTTGTTTTTTATTTTGATGTATAATATGCTCATATACTCATAGCAGAAAATATTCAGAGGGTCATCAAATTGAGGTGAAAATCATCAAAAATGCTGGCAATGGATGGCACCTAAAAAAAACTGGAAGGTAACTGGAAGTTATCACATCGTCAGTTTAAGGCACATCCAGGACTTTGTTTGATAAATGTTTTTCTATCATAGTTGATGTGCAAATACACTTATTGGTGAAAGTTGAGCGTATACATTTTACTATTTGTGCACATTTTACCATTTTCATCTAAAAAATGAACACAAATTTTCTACTACACTAAAATTAAGTTTAAAGTATTAAATTAAGCCTTTTGTTCAAACTACGTATTTAATAAAAAGATGAAACAACACCATTCTTGAGAGTTTTTTTGGATAACTTAATTGTTTTATGTTTACCACACTTAATTTTGTAAAAACTAATAACCCAACAATTTTTCTCAGTGTACTATCGAAGTCAATGGCTTACAGTTTTCAACATTCCTAAAATATCTTTTTTGTGGACGTCAGAAGAAGGAAAAACATAAATGTTCGGAACTCTTGGAAAAGCATGTGATTTGCCAGAATGCTAACGTTAGCATAATAGCTTAGACATTTTACATCCCTCCCCTGTTGTCTAAAGCCATGCCTCCTTAAGTCATAAACACATGAACTGAACAGATATAACACTAGATCATGTCATTCACCAGTAAGAAAACTCCTTGGAGAAATTCACTTTGTCCAGCGTTGTTGTTGACATGCCAGCAAGTGCAGGAATTATATTTCCCCACTGGCACTGGGGTAAAGTTGGTTTTATATTCGCACATTCTGACTTTCTCCTCAATTATATAATTTCAGAAAAGTACTGTTTGCAAATTCTAAATAGTGAAATCATTTAATCAGCCATTGATTATAAAATATAAAATTGTTCACAGTCAATGAAACAGTGGTAATATTGTTTTGAGGTCATTTCTACACACTATTTCAGACCCAATATTTAAAGTAAAGTTAGAGTGGAAGCGTGTCACAAGTTGTCATTGTTCAAAAAATGAACAAATGTGTGAATATAAATCAAACTTAACCTCAGTAAAGCTGGTTAGGTAGAAGCGCACTGTTTACTTGTTTTGTTATTCAGCTTAATAAAAATCTGATCAGAAAAAAAAGAGTGCTAAGAACAGAAATATCCTGTCATCTTTTTACATTACACTTACGTTACCAAGACAATGAGTGACTTTTCATTTTCAATTGTGCTCACTGATCCTCATTCTTCACTTGTTTTCATCTCCTTTTACGTTTGAACAACTAAATGAATGCTCAGGTCTGTTTAACCGAATATATTATCGATGCTGTAAAAGGTACTTCTTGAACTTGAAATTAGCCTTTCTTTCGCCGAATGTTTTCAACAGCACTTCCGTGCATATAAACCCATTCATAAACAAGAACACAATCTACATATATTTGCATGACAAATAGTTTCAAAACATACCTGTCTAAATGTAACCCTTCATGTCATCCTTCTATCATGGTTTTGAACTGCATAACATAATTTCCCTCCAGCGTACAAAACTAATTATGATTTTGCTTCAGTATTTAGAAAAGTTTTGCTGTTTTGGCGAAGCCCTTTCAAAAACAATCTTTCTTTTCATGGATACAAGGCCACATTGGTCTTTCAGAAAGAAGTTCAGGTTGATACAGAGTTTGCCTGATGCACTAATGACATATCTGTCTGCTTAAAGAGGCTGCACAGAAATTCAATTGTAAATTTGTTGACAAGTTTGAGTTACCTGTCATTTGTTGAAATGAGTTATTTGTCATTCCAACAATTGTTAGCTGGACGAACGTTTTTAGTCGTATGTCATACATAGAATATAAAAGTACATATAAATACATATAAATAATTTACTTTAATCATTACTATTGGAATGTGAAGACTTTCAACCAGCACAACTAAAAATATTTCTGAAGACAATCACCTAATGCATCTTTAAACGGGGAGTAAATATAATTTTTGCGAGAACTGTACTTTTAAATGGTTCCCAAATTGTTCCTTTTATTGCATTGCTGCAAAAATAACCTTTATTTTTAATAGGCAAACATTGACACAAGGTATTTTACATAATTTTATTGCACTCTGTCTCTTCAGGAATGCCTGCACACTATAACTAAAATCAAAGCTTTAAACACTGCTGATGAAATACCATTAGCTTCATTACTTTCAGTTCATTAATATCTCCATCCTTTATGTCTTAACCTCAGATGATTCTTCAGCCTTAAAAGTGGCCATTCCTGCCAGCTCACCAGTGTCTGCTGTTTTGGGTGGCTCTTTGACGCTGCCCTGCCTGGTGAGTCTTCCCCGTACGCCATCTTTGGGTCGACATGCAGTATTGACGCAGCCACGGGTCAAATGGAGCTTTCTTTCATCAGACAGAGAGACAGAGATTCTGGTGGCCCGTGGTGAGCGGGTTAAGGTGAGTGAGGCTTATAAAGGCAGAGCGTCGCTGCTCAATTACGCTACCTCTTCAGCTGATCTCACCCTCAGACTGGAGGGATTGATTCACAACGACACAGGTTTCTACCGGTGCGAGGTCCAGCATGGCCTGGAGGACTCACATGACCAGGCTCAAGTCAAAGTTAAGGGTGAGAATTATCTGAAAAACACTCTCTGCCATAGACCACTGTCAGAATGGAAATCAACTGGGGTTTGAATCCAAGTGGTACAGAAGATTTGGTTGTAAATTCCAGCTAAATTAAATTATATTAAACAGTTAATAATAATTAGATTAAAAAGAAAATAATTAAGTTAAAAAGTAATCTAAATAATTACTGTTACAAATATTAGGTCACAATTTATTTTGATAGTCCGTTTGATGAATATAAGTTACAGTGCATCTACATGCCAACTAATTCTCATTAGAGTTGATTTATTAGTAGACTGTTGGAGTTTGGGTCAAGTAAGTTGACATGTGCTTGCAAAGTTTCTTATTGTCAGTTAAATGTCGATTTAGCAGCAGTATCATATATTAAGCAGACAGTCTACTAATTCTCAAATGGACCATCAAAATAAAGGGTTAGAAATATATTACTAAATTAGAAATATATGTATATTTATATTATATATATATATATATATATATATATATATATATATATATATATATATATATATATATATATATATATATATATATATAAATGGATGCTTTCCATGTATAAAAATAATATATTCATATTTAAAAAAACAACAACACATAACCAATTTACTTAATATTTAACTGAAATACTAAGTACTAAACTGCTATTTAAATAAAAACATAAAAAAATAATTTCAAATAGTACAAACAAGACAAAGACGATCAGACAAACAAACAAACGACAGACCCGAAGCGATACCAATTATGTAAAATGTACAAATGTCTCTGTTTAACAAAAAACATAAATCAAAACAAAAGAAGCCAGAACCCTCTAAAAATAAATATTTCAAAGTTTGTGTAGGAAGGATTAAAGAGGTTCCTAACGTCTCCTGAATTTGTCCTGTTTGTGGTTGAGATCATAAACAGAGGTTTGAGGTCTTTGTCAAATTTGCCGATTTTTTTTTTATGTAAATAAACCATTTATAAAAAAAACTAAAAACAATAATACAGTTCCTAAACTCTAAATGACACTGATTGGACTATTTTAATGATTATAAATTGTTTTAAGTGACTAATGTTGCATTTATTTAAAAGAAAAAGTAAACCGTAAAATTTCTAATTTGTAAAACCAAAATTTTCAGAATTATTAGTCCAGCTTTCAGTGTCAAGTGATCAAATTCTTAAATCATTCTAATATGCTTATTTGATGATCAAGATACATCTGTTATTGTTGTTATTATTAACATTAACTCAACTAAGTTTTATTGAAGTCACAGATTCAGAAACATTAACACATTTTTTACATATAACATAGGCAAAGCAAATAAAAAGAAAAAAGAAAAGGAAAAACAATATTAAAATCACAATATTAAATAAAAACCCACCCACATAACAAGCCAACTTGTTAACAAAGACCTGTTTGAACAACAGAGTGTGATGACAAAGCATATTAAAACATTACAGAAATGATGCATTATTCCACAAGGTTATGTTCAAGAAAACAGATAAAAGGATTCCAATTTTTGTGAAATAGTTTGAGTTTTCTTTTTAATAAAAATATTAAGAAAGAAATATAATCCTTAAATTTAACTTAAAAAAAAGACTTTAAATTTTGAAATAAAATGTATTTATTAAAAATACATGTATCCAGTTGGGCTACCCTTCCAATTGACAGTTATGTGATCTTAACTTGCTATAACTTGCTAAAAATAAAATATACAATTAAAATGCACTGTTCATTTTCTGCAGAAGACTGTGATGTATTATGAGAGCACTGATTCTCAGCATGTTCTTAGGGGTTGTCTTCCTCTACCGCCATACCTCGAGTCGCTATGCCTTCACTTTTGATGAGGCCAGAGATGCGTGTAAGGACATCGGAGCTGAGATTGCTTCTCCAGAGCAGCTGCTGGCTGCCTATCACAGCGGTTATGAGCAGTGTGATGCTGGCTGGCTTTCAGATCGCTCCGTCAGGTGAGAGGACAAACACATCAAATACCCGTCCTGTGAGGTGACGTATAAAGTAACAAGATCATCGTCAATCAAACTTTTGGCATTTAATTTTTAGAAAAGGTGTTTGGACCGTCAGTGTACAACAGCTGGCCTCCTAAAGTAAAAATGCACTTATTTTCTTCAGACAAGAATTTTTGTGAAAATTTTAATGGTGAATTTGGTGAATTTATGGTCTCTAAAGACAGAAAGTCACAAAGCACCTTTTGTATCGGCCTTATTCTGCAGTGCTGAAGTTTTCTTTTTTGCCCATTCTTTTACGACTCAGTTGCCTGTTAGGGAAATAACCAGGAGCAACAAACAGCAATAAACGCTCCAACTACTTGCTCTACAAGTGTGTTTATGACTAAACATTAAATTAATATACTGTGAAAATTCCTGACCGTGGCATCAAGCAGCATAAGGAGCTGTTTTTACAGCCAAAAAGTCTCTAACCAATTTAGTAACTCATGTAAAAGATTAAGGTCAGTACAGTCAACCACTTTCTCTTCAATTGAGTGTGTGTATGAGCTTGTTCTTGAGATCCAATATTAAAAAATAAGGCTGAATTTACACACAGTATGAATATTTAAAGAGACAACAGAAAGCATTGGAAGCAGTATATATTTATTTAATTTTATTTTTTATTTGCAGTTTAAATATACCAAAAATATGAGAGTCAAATCGGCTGTAAAAATGGGTGGGCTATTTTTGTACTATATAGATTTCCCAGTAAGCGGAGCTAACCAATGCAACACTGAGTGCATTTAAAATCTGAAAATCTGATGCCTATAGGTAATTGTTGTTAATAAATTGTTACTTTAATTTTTGCACAATATATATATATATATATATATATATATATATATATATATATATATATATATATATATATATATATATATATATATATATATATATATATATGTGTGTGTGTGTATATATATATATATATATATATATATATATATATATATATATATATAGTTTGATGGCATAATAAAAAAGAAAATCAAATAGGGAGAGTCTAAAAACCCTTTTTATGAGGAACTACTTTCTTCTGCCATTCATTCAGTTCTGCAGCTGACGTGTTTACTAGTGACACTTTAGAGCTAGTGTTTGAATGATTATCAAGTGTAATGTCTAAAGTGAAGACAAAACAGGTGATTTAGCGATTTATATATATATATATATATATATATATATATATATATATATATATATATATATATATATATTTATACAGAAGTTCTGTCTGGTTCTCGAATCTGATTGGCTGAGAGCTGCTATATATTTAAGTAATATCAGCACCCGTACAGCCTCTTTACCCTTTGTGTATTACTCCACCCACTTTGTGTATTACTCCGCCCACATACAGCCAGCAAAAAGCAGACACTACAGATATAAAGTTTAAAATATGCTTGCTCAGCTGTTTAACTGTCAGCTTATGATTTGAATCCAACGCGGAAGAATGTAGTTCCTCATACAAAAGGGTTTTTGAGACTCTCCATGTTTGATTTTGTTTTTATATACACAGTTATACCGTCAAACTGTTGTATAAACACAATATTACACTCATAACAGTGCGATATGGCTGTATACTGGCACTGTTGGGGCACTGAGGCATTGTGATATTGTGAGGCATTGAGATATTGTGCTTCAAAGTTTTTGCCTTCTATATAGCAAACAGTATACATGTAACATTTGTTTTTAAATTAAAAGTCTCAAAATGTAAATGACTTATAAAAACATTTAATGGAAATAAGTTATCATTTATTACAAATATGTCAATAACTCAATTTTGACAAAAATGTCAGATAGAACCTTATAATTCTAACGTGACGATGCACATACATACATAGGCTACATACATACATATATAAAAATTTTGGATTAAAAGGCTGAATTGCGTCAGTCTAGAGATCAGTTCTCTGTTGCCATTGGGAGATCACAATAATTAAGTCTGAATAATCCAAGCAAAGCAAGCACTGCCAGAAACACTACCAAACTATGGTAAAAAAATATATATATAAAAAAAAAATATATATATATATATGTATGTATGTATGTATGTATGTATGTATGTATGTATGTATGTGTATCGTCACGTTAGAATTATCGTTCATCATCAGATAGAAGGTTCTATCTGACATTTTTGTCAAAATTGAGTTATTGACATATTCTTAATAAATGACAACTTGTTTCCATTATGGGAGGTTTTTATAAGTTGTTTACATTTTGAGACTTTTAATTTAAAAAACAAATGTTACACGTATACTGCTTGCTATATAGAATGCAAAAACTTTGAAGCTCAATATCTCAAAATCATTCAGAACGCAGATAGAACCTTATAATTCCTAGGTGACGATTGTTTTTTGTGAATTAAACTGCAATTTATATGAAATTAATGTATTCATCAATAACATTTAACAGACAACAATATAATAATATTAATACAAGTAAATCAGGCAAAAGAACATCAACCAAATTGTCAGTCAGCATTAACATTGCAGTCAAATCTATTTGCTCTGGAGTAAATAACAGATGACTGACCAAAATATTGCCTTTAGATATAGCCTAAACAAATAACATTTTACAGTAGACTAAAATAAAGACACCCACTATACTTTTGAATTAGTAGCCATCAGAGGAGTGCTCACGATGGACAATATGACAAAAAGTGAAATTTAACTTATATCAATAAACTGCTTATTTACAATCTAAACAACATCATTCTTGAAAAAGCTTCTAAAAAAGCCTCAAAAGTCCATTATGTTGTCCAACAGCTGCAATATTTGTCAAACTGTGTAGAGAGTTGTTTATCCAGGTGCTGATATTAGTTAAATATCTCACGACTATCAGCCAATCAGATTCGAGGACGCGACTGAATTGTTGTATAAATACATATGTACGCATGTGTAAAACTAATAGGGCTTAATAAAGACATGGCTATGTTAATTTGTAGATCATCTAGCAACATTTAGTAACTTTTTATGTAGGAATTCGCTACTATTTATTAAAGCCATTTGGCAACATTATGTACATCAACATTAGCAACTGATTTGTAACAAAATATGTTTTGAAGCTTTTGTTGTTAATAAAAAGATATTATGTTATGGAGTTTTAGATACCCGATCCAGATGCCTCGGGAAGGGTGTTTTGGAGATATGGATGGATTACCAGGCGTTCGTAACTACGGCACGATGGAGAACGATGAACTCTATGACGTATATTGCTATGTGGAGAACATTCATGGTAAACAATTAGCTGCTAATGTTACGCTTGAAAAACAGTACTCTTGACTGTACGCCAAAACTAGCATTTCATATTTGTATTAGATTATTTTCAGAGAATGCAGGGTGCAGTGTGATTGTCAGTTTTTCCAAAGCAAGAAAGGTTTGTTCATTTATTGATGTGACTGTTTTTAGGGGAGGTTTTTCATGGCTCAACCCCGCAGCGCTTCAGCTTGTCAGAGGCAAAGGCGTACTGTGAGCAGCAGGACGCTCAGCTCGCTACCACAGGTCAGCTGTACGCTGCCTGGAATGATGGTCTGAACCACTGCAGTCCTGGCTGGCTCGCTGACGGAAGCGTTCGCTACCCCATCGTGACCCCCCGTGAACGCTGTGGGGGCTCTGAACCTGGCGTCAAGACCGTCTATCGGTTTAGCAATCAAACAGGATTCCCTGAACCAAACACTCGCCATGATGCTTACTGCTTCAAAGGTATTTACAGATTTGAGTTTTATCTGCAAATGTATAAACTGTATAACACAGGATTCAAACTGTGGGGTTCAAAGGGTGTGGTGCTAGGTCTACAATAAATTAAAATAAAGCTGTATTTTATACATAAAAAGCATATTAAATGCAAGTAAAGCACCGACATTAATACTTCAAATTATGCTTCATCATTCATATACAGTATAATTATTCTTAACTGTATCATACTATCATAATCGTACTACATTTTATAATATTTTAAATAATAGTAAAAATCCTCATGAGAAATTGGTAAAAGTGGCAAAGTATAAATATAAAAAAAAATTTAAAATTCTAATGAAAATAAAACAGGTCATTATACATTAGAATTGTTTAATTTTTGATCATTTTAAAATATATACAATAAAACCTAATAAAAAACACATTTTTTCATATGTTTTCTCCGACACAAAAAAATATTTCCCCCATTTTTTCTTACTATGGAAATCACCATCAAATGCATGGTTAACAGCATTTTTCTTTTCTATGTTGTGTTGTGTAATCCATTTTGTGTTATCTTAACAAAACTTATAGAAACTTATAGAAGGTCAATGCATCATATTAAATTATAATACATACTAAGTTTTTCAGAACTATTGTCACTTTTTAGGATCACATTTAACATTTCCCTCTCATGGTATAATTGCATATTTCTACATGATAACATGGTACTGCATTTATATTTTAAGAAAGCAGTCCTGTTTTTTTAATGTAACACTTTGGTATATTTGTTTCTTGTTTTTTCCCCTGCAGCTAACAGCAACTCTCAAACAGCCCCACCTGCAGATTATATGGCAACATCGCCAGAGGAAACAGAGCAGCATATCGTAACTTTAGCAGAACCCCAAGAGGAATACAGTGTGCATCAGGTCACTCAGCGATCTGAAAATGAAGCTCAGGGAGCTGTTGAGTCCTTTTCAATTTACAGCACTCAAACTGCTTCAGAAACTGAGGAACACAACCATACCTCAAGCCCTCAAGAAGACATCATTATTGGCTCCAGAAAAGACCTCACTACTCCAACCAGCACAGAGGGAAATACTGAGACCATTGAGGTCACCTGGCAAAATGTTGAGTCCATTCCTGAAATTTACATAGATCCAAAACGCAATAATTTCATGCTAGAGGGAGAACCTGAAATAAAAGCTTCAGCTGTCGATGGTGTGAAAAGCAGCAATCATAGACACTACCAACCAATGCCAGATACTAATCTAGAGCCAGGGGAGCCTATCGACTTCATCCCACCTACAGTGGCTCATCATGGAACAACAGAGGAACCGTCCTCTCCACCAAAGGAAATCAATGGGTCCAAACACTACCAACCCATGCCTGACACCAACCTGGATGATGAAGATCATATGACAACTCAGAGCACTACACTGCAATATGACTCAAGCAATAACACAACTCAAGATGCTTCAGTCCAGTCGACGTATCACCCTGATGGTGCAACATTAGAGACAAATGCAGGAAATATCACTGAGGCTCCAGAGTCAGATGACAACCAGGGTCTTTTTACACACACAACTCAGCCCACCTCAACGAGCACATCCAGCAGGGAAGGTTGGTTGGAGAGTTCTGGTGAAGATTCAACCACAGAAAAAGCAATATATCTGGATTTGACCACAAAAGAAGCAGTAAATCTGGATTCGACCACAGAAGAACCAATACACCTGGATTCAACCACAGAAGAAGCAATACACCTGGATTCAACCACAGAAGAAGCAATACACCTGGATTCAACCACAGAAGAAGCAATACACCTGGATTCAACCACAGAAGAAGCAATGTTTAGCACACATAATTCAGAAATATATAGAGCATCTACAGCTGAGACTTTGACAGAAAGCTACTCATCAACACATCTGAACAATATTAGCCCAAGTAAGTAGATATAAACTTTTCATATGTATTAATAGGATTTTTTTTTGTGTGTGTGTGTGCATTTAATAACCACCACAAATATACATAATTCAGGACAGAATTAAGAATGTTTTGTATGGTTTAAATGCAAAAATTTAAGTAAAAATAATAATTGTAAAATTTTTGAACAAAGAACTAGGTAGAGTAAAATCTTGGATGAAAGAATTGGTGGATGGATTGGCATTATGAAAGTATACAAGGATGCATATTTAAAATTAAAGATAGATGGATGTATGGATGGACGGGTGGCTAAAACAAGAAACATTGAATAGTTTCACATTTAAAATGATGAATGGGTGGTTTGTTTTGGTTAAATTGGATGGATGGATGGATGGATGGATGGATGGATGGATGGATGGATGGATGGATGGATGGATGGATGGGTAAAATGGATTGGATGGATGGCTTAAACAATGGATGAATGGTGAAACAACGAATGGGTGCTTATAAAATGATGAATGAATGGATAGATGGATGGATGGGTAGCTAAAACAATGGATGAATGGTGAAACAACAAATTGGGTGCATATATAAAATGATGGATGGATGGTTCAGTTTAGATAAACTGGATGGATGGATGGATGGCTAAAACAATGGATGAATGGTGAAGCAACAAATTGGGTGCATATATAAAATGATGGATGGATGGTTCAGTTTAGATAAACTGGATTGATGGATGGATGGGTAAAATGGATTGATGGTGAAACAACGAATTGGTGCTTATATAAAATAATGGCTGAATGGTTCAGTTTGGATTTACTGGATAGATGGATGGGTGGGTGGATGGATGAGTGGGTGGGTTGGCGGGTGGATGGATGGATGGATGGATGGATAGATGATTTGGTTAAAATGGATGGTTGATGGTTGGACAAAATAATGCAATGGATGGATGTTTTGGTAAATTTGTATGGATCAATGGATGTATGGGTAAAACAATGAAAGTATGTATTGATACAATGAGTGATGATGGATAGATAAACCTGTAAATTAATGAAGGATGGATGATGCTTTAGTAAATTTGAATGGATGAATAAATGGATGGTACAATGATGGATATATGGATAGAGGGATGGGTAAAACAATAAAATGATGGATAGATAAAATAGAGATGATTGATAAACCTATAAATTGATGGATGGAATGATGAATGGGTAATATGATGGAGGGATTAATAGATTGATTGAGAGATGAATGAGTAAAACAACAGGTAGATGGATATTAATTGTCCTGCGTTTCTTTGTTGCAGCTGATGATGTTACTGATCATTTCACTTTGAGCACAACACTGAGGGAAACTGAACTGTCTGAAAGCTCTGGAGATCATGATGAGGTCCTGCCTGTCATACTCTTCACCACACCTATGCCTCATCTGCTGGACTCCTTAACCACACGTGCACCTGTACAGCTGGAAATCAGTTCTCCACAGCAAATTGAAGGAGTTCTCTCTGACAGCACCACTGCATCTGCCCTCAGAGTTGTGGAAGAAGAAGTGGAAAAGGTGGAGCAAGAAGAGCTTGGGGAACAACCTGAAACCAAAATCACCACATCCACTGAGCTTAATCATTCTACTGTAACTCTGAGCATTGATGGCAGTGATGAAGAGGAATCTTCAGGAGAACCTTCAGAAAACTGGACCTCGGTAACTGAAAACCCTTACTCGAACACAGCCACCATCACTCCTTCTAATCTAACAGATCTGCAAGAGCACAACGAAACCAATAGCGATGATGAAGATAATCAGGCCATCACTGTGGAACCCACAACGGATCTGGAGGTTACTTTTCTTCCTCATGGGACTCAGACCTCCATCTGGCAGAGCGTGGTGACAAGCCCTGGAGAGTTGAACGCAGATGTTGAGTTCAGTGGAGAAGCAGCACTGACCACAGATGACATGAGAGCATTAGAGGAATCTGAATCCACCAATGCACCTATCAGTGAGCAGACTGAGGAAACTCTAAAACCATCCAGCACGACAGACCATAATGATGCTGACGATGATGATAATGATAATGATGATGATGAACTCATAACTAAAGCAATAACAGGCAATGAAGAAGATGAGAATGATGTCAAAACCACACACGAGTCCTTCATTATACCTGTCAGACCTACACAGAGAGTGTTGATCAGGACAAGCTACATTTCAGGTAAAAACAACAATAACTGTGTAATATAGTGGTAGGGCTGCACAATATACTGTTTCAGCATTGATAACACAACGTGCGATTCTGCAAAAGGCATTGCAGGATGTGTATCAGTTTACATTTTCAATTGAATTAATACCATTCGGACTCCATAATTTTTAAAATATAAATCTCTAAAGGTTCAAAAATTCCTTAAGTATTTTTTTTTTGTTGTTGAGATTTTAACAGATTTGTTGAGCATCAGTTAAGACAATGTAAGCACCTGTCAGCTTTAATTGTGGGGAAAATTGGATAATTTTGAGCTTTTGTCAGCTAATTTCATCTTCCGGGTTTAAAAAAAAATCGGGGCAGGATCAAAATCAGTGACCTAGCATGAATCTGCTAGTCTAGTGATGACACATCGGTTTCTCATTATAATTCATAGTAAAGTTTTCTTATTCTATGAGAAGACCCTGTTTCTTAATTATTCATGAGAGCACATGATTTCCAAGGCAAGGCAGACCTGCCAAGCTGTGATACCTCGCACGGCACGCAGTATTTAGCCATTTACAGTATGAAGGGTCGCATGTGTTTTTTTCCATGATCCACTGGGTTTGTTGCATATTTTTCACCGTGATGCTTTCAGGGCCAATACAGCAAAGCTGTTGGTTTGCAGCAAGCATTTTTGGCGGGAGAGCTGTATGAGCATTGGAGAACGGGGGACTTTTTTCAGTTGAGTTGTTGCCCTACAGACACGTCACCTATTTCCGTGGTGCTCTGTTCGCCTATGTTTAAATCCTCTGAGTTACCGGCAGGGCTAATGGTTGGTGTAGAAAGGGCAAGAGACCTGCTGCACTGATATCCACTGTGTTTACATTCAGACCCGGGAATTGAGGAGGAGAGAAGTCCTCCTCATTTATAGTGTTTATATAAACATGGTTATCTTTATAATTATATAACAAATTGTGTTTGTGTGTATATGAAATGACGAATAACAAATGTAGCAGGGAATTAAATTACTGACTGCTTATTTCTTTGCATTTTAACTTTGTAAACTATAAAAGCATGGGTGGTCTTATGGTTTGTGTCCTATTTTGTTATTCAACTGACAGTTGTTCGGTCCCCTTTTTTCCCCCTGCTCTGCCAGCCACACACACTCCTCCCTCTGATCGCAGCACTCCACGCCCATCGTGTAGCATTTTTTGAAAAAGTTCTGAGGTAGACTGAAATAGGGGGCTTTCATGACCCTTTACCAAAGATTAATTGTGTTTATTTATTCCAATGAAGACTGTAGAATGTTATTTTACATTGATTATTGAGTTTCTGTCAATGCTGTTAGACTCCACTGAAAACCATAAAGGGCTGTTTGTTTATTTTTAATCTTTGCTCTGTTGTTTTCATTTGTGCTTTAATTTATTTTATATATTCCTTTTTATAGTTTTGAACATTTTATGCAGATTCAGACCCCTAAAAATATCATCCCGATCAATGCAAAATTCTGAATTGTTTCCAAATAGAGTCATCTTATGAAATCATATTCGCAAATATAACATATTCACAATATATAAATCGCAGGAAAACACAATGTTGCAATGTCAGTTTTTTTCCAGTATTGAGCAGCCCTAGTATGTGGTTAGGTTTTCATTCCGTGGAAAGTTTATAAAGTCATTGAAGCCTTTAAAATTCATTTAATAAAGTTAAATGTTGGTGTAGATATCATTAGCAACAACTGGGAGTGCCTTGTGGTACTGTGGGAAACATAAAGTTATATTAATGCACACATTTAAAGGGGGGATTTTTTATATTTTTCATTGACATTTATTGGTCATGGCAGGTCTAAATTGGTTTACTTTTATAGTTAAAACCATAAAATAAAAAATATATTCCTTGAAATATATATGAGCTGAACATTTACCTAACTAGTGTAACAGTAATACCTGACTAGCTAGTTATCTGGCTAGAGTAGTGTCTAAAATGATATAAACATGATTAAGATAATAAAGAGACCACTTGAAAATAAATAATTATTATCAAATCATCAAAACGTTTTTGTTTTGTAAGGTACTGATGTAGTTTAATCCAAATTCAAAACAAAAATATTGTAATTTAGAACATTTAAACATAAAACAAATATTTTTACCATGTTTTCATTCATTAATATTGATTTTTAGATGAGACTTTTTTTTAACTTCAGAGGAGTTTAGTAATCAATATTTGATAAAAGGATTCTGATTTATAGTCACAACAAATAAAAAAAAATTATTCTAACAAAGAAAAAACTCTCTAATGAGTATTTGTATTTGACTTTACATACACCATTGCTTTACTTCTCAGTTTTGTTTTTTTGTATGTCAGTTTATTCTTTAGCTTGTTATTTCAGTTATTTATTTACTAAATGTAATAACAGTCTTATTTTATTTTATTCATATTCTTTATTTCATTTATTTATTTTTTTATAAATTCAGTTTTATCCAAATTACGATTAAATTGTTTTGTTTCAGACATGATTTTTGTAGTATTCTGGTGTGATAGCCTCCTCTGTTGGTTGTTAAAAATTACTTGTGGAAACCGTAAGATCTCAAAAGAGGGCGCTGTTTTCTTCTAAACGCTGGCAGTTGCATCTCTTTAAAATACCTGCAAACTAGATATCTGACATGTATAATCTGTAACCTCTGATTACCATGTTTATCAAAGACTGCAGTGCAGACAGATAGAGATCATTTATCAAAGGTGTGCAACCCACACCACAACAAATACTTCCAGTGGTGCATGAAGGAGAATTTTGGTTTAGTGGGGCCAAGATGACTAGAAACTGATAACAGAACAATAATGAAATGTTTTAAGGTAGAGATCTACAGTACCAATCACGAAGCCGGTTTTAGCCTGTCATTTAAGTGGTGCAGAAGTTGTAGGATTACTCACATTAAATTTGTAATAGTGCCACCTTGTGTTTAACTCATGCTTGATTTAAACCCCTCATTAATGTGTGCAACATATGTTTAGCTTCAGCTCTAATACCACATGAATGTTTTTTAGACGCATGTTTGGAAAACCCTTGCAAAAATGGAGGCACCTGTGTGGACAGTGGAGGAGATCAAAGGTGTCTCTGTTTGCCTACCTATGGAGGAGACTTCTGCGAGACAGGTGAGTTACCTTGTTATAAAATCAGTAAATCTTATGTTTATACAGTGGAAGTCACAATATATAAGATAAGAACAATAAATAAGCACGTTTTTTTATATAAATGCATACTGAATATTAATGTGAATGAATATTAGTTGTGCCTAGTCGAACCGTTTAACAAAATAACCGAAAATGACAAAAACTCACTCTCACGTGGTCCAACCTTAATGAATTTTTTCTTCTTCTGTTAAACACAAAAGAAGATAGTTTGAAGAAAGCTGAAAACTTGATTGCAGGTTTCCATCTTTCTTCCAGATCAACAGAATAAAGATTCAACTCATAAAAGTTTCAAACAAGTAAAGTACATTAATAGTAAACAGCAGAATGTTTGTTTTTGAGTGAACTATGCCCTTGAAAATTTCAGTTATCAAAATTGGAGAACAGCAAAACGAAGTTATAGTTTTTAAGTTTACATGAGTCAAAAATGAGCAGGAAGTGTAGAGGCCCTTTCTTTTGGCCACCCTAGGGCATACCTAGTCTAATGCTCTGGTTGATTTTGCTCCAATCTTCATCAGTCTCTTTCAAAGTTCAGTGACTTTGAGTACTTTCTTAGCCTGGACTTTGTCAGCATATAAATGTTTTTTAGCTTCTGTGATCTCGTCATTGAGAGACTTTTTTTAAATCACATATACATAATTATGTAAATAAGGATTATCAGCTAATTATGAAATTACCACCTGGTGCCAGAATACCTCCAATAAGTGGAAGGTGTCTAAAGTGTTGTCTAATTTTGAGCAATTATGCTAAATATGCAATTTAATATGCTAGATTTTTTGATTAAAATATCCAAAAACCATGGGTTACACAATGGCTCAATGGTTAGCAATTTCGCCTCACAGCAGGACGGTCGCTGGTTCGATTTCCAGCTAGGTCAGTTGGCATTTATGTGTGCATTTCTGTTCATGTTTTTCCCATGTTGGCGTGGGTTTTCTCCGGGTACTCTGGTTTCCCCCACAGTCCAAAGACATGTGCTCTAGGTTAATTGAATTAACTAATCTGGACATAGTGTATGTGTGTGAATGAGTGTGTATGGATGTTCTCCAGTACTGGGTTGCAGCTGAAAGGGCATCCGCTGTGTAAAACATATGCTGGAAAAGTTGGCAGTTCATTTCGCTGTGGCGACCCCTGACGAATAAAGGGACTAAGACGAAGGAAAATAAATGAATATCCGAAAAACCACTAGAACGGTGATCTCAGATGTTTCAAATCCAGAGAAATAAGTCATTCAAACTAGTTATACAGACGGTGTCCTCTGTGGCCATGCTAATGACGTCACTTACCCTCAATTTCTGGTTTGGTTATATAAAAAAACAGGAAACACATACTGTAGGACACTTTAAAATTTTGTGTTTTATTAGACTTTACAGAGTAGCATTATAGCAGAACTCTATTGTTCTGCTATAATGTAAATATATAAAGTACTATAGCAGATTGCGTTAACGAGCAGTTGGACAGGTGTACCTAATAAAGTGGACAGTAATTATATGTAAATCGTGAAATATGCTTTAAAAATTGTTTGTTTACTCCTGTTAAAAATAAACTGATAACTTTATATAGGACTTTATTTGTTTTTAAAGGTGTGTGTGTGTGTGTGTGTGTGTGTGTGTGTGTGTGTGTGTGTGTGTGTGTGTGTGTGTGTGTGTGTGTGTGTGTATGTAAGCTGTACATGCTTTATATTAAAAGTCACACTCTTACCTTCTGTCCACAAAGATCTAGAGCATTGTGAACCAGGCTGGGAGAAGTTCCAGGGGTTTTGCTACAAGCATTTCGCCAAGCGTCAGAAATGGGAAGTGGCAGAGCAGCACTGTCGCATGTGCGGAGGTCACCTGGTTTCTGTTATGTCACCTGAGGAACAGTTGTTCATCAATGGTATGTCTAAGCAGCTGTTTGCATAGATGACCCATTCCTCTTGATCTAATCAGTTTGACTTCTTATCAGGTGATGGCAGAACATTCAGATTGATGGAACTTGATTTGAACTTGAAGTGTGCTAAACGAGGTCATTTTCAGGTTACTGAATTCGAAAAATTGCAGAAATGTCCTGCGGATTGTGTGTTTGTTGCTGGTAGCTATGTGCAAGTTTGTGTTATAATGGATCATAATTAGCTGGTTAAAAAAGATTTCTTTATTTTGAATGTCTCGCTGAATAATTCACTTACCTGTTTTATTTTTAAAAAAAACATAAAATCCATGCTTTTTTCATTGGTAAATAGCAAAAATTAAAAGTAAATGCCTATTTTTTATAAAATGTACATTTGCATATGCAATACTAATTTGATGTTTATTGAACTATTGTATTAAAGCAATGTCTGCTTCAGAAAAGCAAGAATATTGGTTAAACAAAGAATCAAAAAAGCTGGTTTAGCTTACAGTACATACAGGAGTTCTTAAAGAACCAGGGTTGTTGACATAACTTTGAGAGGCCCTGCATGAAGGGCTTTTAACATGTCACCTTTTTCATGTGAGTGAATGAGGGTTGTGTTCAAGGGGCCTCTGCAAATCTGTCACATATAATGCATCAGGGTGTTAAACAGGACGTGTTTTGTGTCTTACTGAAAATGTATGCTGGTTATTTGGCTTTTCTGTTTGCTTAGATAAATACAGGGAGTATCAGTGGACGGGCCTCAACGACAAAACAATTGAGGGAGATTTCCGTTGGTCAGATGGAAACCCTCTGGTGAGTGTTCTGATTTTGGTGAGGGCTTACTTTGTTTGGGCTTTACTTTGTGCCCCAGCATAATTTTCCAAACTGGAAATGCACTTTGGTAAGAAAGCAAAAATTTTTTTAAGAATTTTAATTAAAATAAATAAAGAATTTGTAAAAAATAATAACAATCGAAATAACAAAGTTTTATGAAACTTTTTTATGAACTTAATTTTATGAAAATTAATAAAAGAGCCTTGGATAACAAAGTTTGTTAAAAAAAAGAAAAAAATGCTAAGATATCTATCATAATGGTTGATATTGAATATTTATTGACCAAATATAATAATTTCAGCCAATTAGATCTTTATCTAATAGGGGTGTAATGGTAGACACATGTATTTGCATTGAAAGTATGTACAGTACCAAAACATGACTTCAAAACTCACATAAGCTACACATTGAATCGCTTTATATGTGTTCTTTTACACCCCGTTATCTAACACTGACTTAACACAATCTGACAAAACCCATAAGAATGCCTGTTGCTGTCAGACATCATCTGTCAGTACAGTGTAGTTTGGTCTGTACAAAGATGTTAATAACATATAACACACTTAATGGGCATATTTCTGTGTGTCTTTCTCTATCAGCTCTATCAAAACTGGTATCGGGGTCAACCAGACAGCTACTTCCTATCAGGAGAGGACTGTGTTGTTATGGTGTGGTATGACGATGGCCGCTGGAGTGATATCCCCTGTAACTACCAGCTTTCCTACACCTGCAAAAAGGGCATTTGTGAGTAAATAACTTTCACCATTGATAATTTTGGCCCAGAAAGAGCAAATGTTCATCGTGTTTTGTTTGTCTTTAGCAGCATTCTGTGGCCAGCCCCCTCTTGTGCTGCATGCTAAGATGTTTGGACGCCGTCAGTTAAAGTACAGGGCGAATTCACAGGTGCGCTACTACTGTGAGTCAGGCTTCATTCAGAGACAGAACCCTATCATCACCTGTCAGAGCAATGGACTATGGGAGGAACCCAAAATCATGTGTTCACCAGGTGAAAAATAGTATTTTGAATATTATACACTCAAAAGCAGTGGTCTCAAACTTAATTCCTGGAGGGCCACAGCTCTGCATAGTTTAGCTCCAACCATCTCCAAACTCACACCTGCTAAATAGTCTCCAGTAGTCTTGAACACCTTGATTAGTTGGATCAGCTGTTTGATTAGCAATGCGGTACGAGCAAAACTGTGCAGAGCTGCAGCCTTCCAGTAATCGAGTTTGAGACCTGCTCAACAAGCGGTGGTGTTTAAGCAATGGTCAGTTTGTTCTACAGTAAGTACAAAGAAAATATTCCCCATGTCATTACACCACCAACTCCAGTTTGAACTGTTGATAAAAAGACATTTAGTGGATTCATGCTTTGGTGTTGTTTACACCAAATTCTCTAATCATGCAAATGTTGCAGCAAAAATTGAGACTCATCAGACCAGGCAAACCTTTTCCAATGTTTTGCCATCCAACTTGTCAAATTGAAGCCTTGATTTTGGTGTTAATAGCTGACAGGAGTGTCACCAATCTGCTCTTCTGCTGCTGTAGCTCATCTGCTTCAAGGTTTAATGTGTTGTGCTTTGAAAAGCTGGGTTTCCATCACCCTCAGTTAGGCCCAATCCCAATTCTACCCCTTAGCCCTGTGTCGATTCTCATATGCTATGAGGTGTAGGGTAAGGTAAATAAATACTTTACAGGACCACAGTATAAACAATGAAGTATGCGAAATATCCCTGAATACATCAGCTACAGCAGCAACATGGCTGCAAAAGTGAGCAAGCAGATGCACAAATGTAGAAATATTGCCATTAATAAGGATTTTTTACTACAAGCATATGATTTAATACATTTATAAGAGCATTGATGTGTGACAGTCATGATCTTCAAAGACATTCTTTTTTTTTCTTTTGAGACATTAGATCGAGGTCCTGACTCTGTGTGGTAATTAAAAATCCCATGGCGCTTCTCGTAAAGAGTAGGGGTGTAACCCTGATGTCCTGGCCAAATTCCCCATTATTGGCCCTTTACCTATCAAGACCTCCTAATCATCCCCATCCCTATCCTCCAGTATGTGGTGAGCACACTGGCATCGTTGCATCCATTGCATCATCCGAGTGGATGCTACACACTGGTGGTGGTGTGGAGAGACCCCAACCCCCCCCCCCATGATTGTGAAGTGCTTTGGGTATATGGCCAATTACTAATTCTCATTTGGGATTTTATCTTTTTTTATGAGATTCACTTCACGTTAAGCCTCATTCACACTATAAGCAACTCGCAGCAGCAAGCGAGCGTTCATTTCAAAGGAGAGCGAGCAACCTCTGTCTACACAAGTGACAGCGACTGTTGGCGAACAAGTGGGCATGTCGAACAAAGCGAGAAATTTGAGAATCCTTTAACTTTATGCAATTAGAGAGCAACTTTCTTGAGCTCACATGATCTTTCAGCTCGCTCGGAGGCCAGTTGTATTCGTGCTATAGATCTACACAGACCTGCCTTTGAAGCAGGTCACCACTCAGAGCAACAGGCAGCTACAAAGTCGCTGCTAGTATAAATGAAGCATTGGGATGGAAACCCAGCTAAAGATCCTCTTTTGTAACTCTCATTTATAGCATTTATGGCCTTTCTATCAGCTTTTTGACCTCTGGCATCAACAAGGCCTTTTGCCATAAAAAAATTTCCACTCACCTCAATTTTTTCTAAACCATTCTATTTTAAAATCTAGATATAAATCCCAATAAATCAACAGTTTCTAAAACACTCCACCAACAACTATGCCAAGTCATTCATATCACCTTTTTTCCTTAAAATGATGCTTAGTTTAAACTTCAGCAGATCATCTACATGTCTAAATGCATTGAGCTGCTTCAATATGATTGGCTGATTAGCAGTAACCTGCAGTTCAATGGGTTGTGTGTTAAATGATATTGTCATCTTTTACGTTTTACACATTACAGTTGAATATTTGCTACAAAAATATTTATTGAGCCATTGAATTTACCATGTTACCATGTTATTTTCACATGTTTTGTTTCCAGCGGGACCAACATATTCAAATGGAGACCTGGTAACATGGCGCACAGGTCAGAACAAGGAAATAGTCATAGAAGACTCAACAACAAAAACACCTGAATATTTGGATATAAAATGGAACTTTTAAAACAAGCACACTGCATAGTTGCATTACATGCCTTTGTTTATCATGTCATCCTTAAAGACGTCCACGCATCCAAATTCTTTATATAACATCAGTGTTGCATTAGGAATCAGTCCTGCTTAACTTTTATTCTCAACCGTTAATTCCAATTGGAAAACAGTTTAAGTACTGTAAACATTTCTTATAAAACTAAAGCATCATTAATGTCCATTTTCTTCGTCCATCTCGCTTCTGCCCCATTTGTCTCTGTGTACACCATGACACTGAATTACATTTGGTAATTCTAAGATAAAGCACACTTGATTAAAAGCAGCATCCAAACAAAGCTTGTAACCGTTGGACTAGACACCTATTCTGTTTGTTTGTTTTGTTTTTAATAAATTTTAGTTAAAACTATGGACAAACGCTCTCTAACATCAGCTGGCCTGAATCCTATTGTTTCACATCGTTGCTCTGTTGACTAAATAATCCAAGTTTTAAAAACAAATAATAACTTGACTTCTATTTGATCATTTGATATTAGAAGTGGCTTATATGAAAGGCAAAGGCCGCTAGATTACGCTTATTACCTCAGTCATGCTCAATAATGTTCATGTCTGGTGACCTGGCTGGCCAATCCTGGAACACCTTAGCCTTCTTTACTTTCAGGAAGTATTTTAATTTGTTACTTTCTAAACTGATTTCTTGGGTCCCGGCAGGTTTTAATAGGTCTTTTGCGGTATTTGTTATGATTGGGGTGTAGTTCAACAGATAATTCATAGAAAAAATCTACCTTCTGCCACTTTTACAAATTATCACCTAGAAGTCAAATGTGTTGCTCTTACAACTGTGATAGACGACAAGACTTTTGTCAGGTCCATCATCGGCTACATTACATATCTGTTCTTAAACTTTCACCTTTTCCTTACTTACAAATTGTCTGCCAAACAAGACTCAATGCAAGAGCGTACAGACTAACAGTGCAATAAGGTTGTCCTAAACTGTAGATGTAACTTTAAAAACTGCAATATTCTTGCTGCTTCTTTTAGAATATTCAAGTCGAACAATTGTCAACTTACTAAAAATGATTTGTAACCTTTGTAAACCCTCCAATCAAGTCAGCTGAGGTATGTCGACCCATCCATTGTGTTGATGTTGGTTCAGCAAAGCTTTATGAAGCAGGGAAGATACTTTATGCAATCCACACTTGTGATTTCCAGACCCATATTGAGTCTTATGGGGGAGGACACTGGTCATTCTGCAACTTGGTGCTCAGTTTTTCAGGTCTGTATTGTACTCTGGAGGATGGCCATTTTAGTAGACTGTTATCAGAACTTTTGTTAAGAGATGCATCACTAACAAAATTATATTTTCAGTTTTGATGGCCTAAAACCATCACATATTTTATCACCCTTGAGAAACATTAAGTGAATTACATTCCAAGCAAGCAGAGCATTCACAATAAATAAATTGATCACAAAAAGAAGTGTTCATGCATTTTCTTGCTTACCAGACTATGTGTGTCTTTAATTACTACTCTCATTAGATTAACACATTAGTGGTTTCTATTTTAAGTAGCTGTAAATGTGGAGAAATGTGAGGCACTTGGAAAATAACAGTTTTATGGGAATTTGTTTTTCTAAAACACTGTCTATGTATTTGCCATGTGTAAATTATATTTTAGGACTGTTACGAAATAAATCAAGTATATGTAAATAAAGATTTTATTGGTAGTTTTATTCACAATTTTTTTGTCATACCTTTTTGTTTATTTACATTGTTAAATTAAATAAAGAAATCCAACAGTTAAGTATCATTTAGTATAATTTTAGACAGTTTAAAAAGCATTGATAAAACGTAATTTCCCTTTTTAAAACAAACATCCTGTGGAATCTGTACAATCACTAAAACAAATGAAAATCATTATTTGCTTTATAAATATTACAAATAAATATTGCATATATCACAGTGTATACAGCACCACATATGTATCTATTTGTTTTAAATGTGACAAATGAATAATCATCTGATTAATTTTACATATATTTCTTGCTATGTAATATTTTTTTTTAACTGCTCAGCTAAAAGAGTTAGCATTTCAAGCTAACAGCTATTCAAACAGGACTAATTGGTTTCTGTATCTGAAGGTTTATCCTCAAGGATTCAATCTTTTCTGCTTTTCAAGAGTTCACACTTAGATATTGCTTATGAATAATTGAGCCCAGGGCACCCGCCTGGTCAATAAGCATGCAAGAGGTTCCAATATCAGGTAGTTCCAAAGAGCTCCACCTGGTAAAGGTGGACATGGGGAGGATAGGGGAACAGAACATAAGGGAAGTCACGTGAAATGGGCTATTTATTGTACGTTTGGATTTATCTAATTGGTTTATCGATGATTGCGGGTGAGAGACCAGCTGCGATCAATCATATCACGTGCTCCTATTGAAATTAGTTTATCTAACTTCACTTAAATCAGTGGCCAGATATACTGTTTAATCCAGAATGATGGATGAATGCTAGATAGCGTATAAGCTAACCATATAATACATTTTCAACAATGCAAAAAGCCTCTGATGCTTATACTGTTAAATTCTGCAGAAACTGAGGATACATTCTAGACATTTTAATTAAGTACAATCAACATGTAGAGCAAAGCATTACCTGCTACCAAAACCTGAAGCAGTTACCTGTAGCAGTAAGCCCCATAGAGACGCATGCTTTTGCTAGGAAACCCAAAGCTACGAACCCCCGGTTCTGCAATCCCTCCACAGTGTTCTCTTGGGTTGATAATGGGGAATCGTACACTGCCATCCTCCAACCAGCCTCCATCACAGCGGTCCAGCTGTTGAAACCTCCAAGATGAGTAGATCTGACCAGTCTTGGCTAGTCCAGCACCATCCCGTCTGCAGGCTCGTTCAGCCTCTGCAAAATTCAGCTGGCCCTCAATGAAGAATACAGAGCCTGGGAAAGCAAAAGTAGGGTATTGTTTTAACTTTTATGCATTTACATTCATACTTTTTTTTGGCCGGACCACATTTTACTTCTGATTCAACCCGGTGGACCATTTTTTGCACTATTCCACATGGAAATTCCAGTATCAGATCAGCAGTTTTTCAAATACTCAGACCAGCCCATACTGTACCATAAAATATGCCATGTTCAAATTCATGTAAATGGTCTTCTCTTCTACATTTTGATCCTTGGTTTAAACTTCGAAAGATCATCTTGTTCAAATCAACAAGCCTAAATTGGGGCAGCTGTGGCCTAATGGTTAGACAGTTGGACTTGGAAGAATTGGAAGATTTGCAGGTTTAAGTTTCGGATCCAGCAGGGATTGTTGGTGGTGAGAGTGAACACCAGGGCTGGGGTGAGTCCATTAAGCAAGGCACTGATTCCACCACTTCTCTGGGTGTGTTCACAAATGTGTGCGCACTTGGATGGGTTAAATGTAGAGCACATAACCCGAGTATAGGTCACCATACTTGACCACAAATTTAAATTTATTGAGATGCTGTCATGTATTAGATGATTAGATATTTGTGTTAACAAGCAGTTGAAAGCATGTACCTAATAAAGTGGACAGTGTAAAATATCCTAAAAAGAACTGATATGCACAATAAACCACTTTAAACCTAAATTCCTGAATCTTTGTTTTTGACATTGATTTCTCCAATGCCATGATCAACAGACTCATGTGGGCAAAGTGGGAGATGTCACTCAGAGTAAGAGACTCTTTGTCTTTCCTAAATACAAAAACAACAGCGCTGATTGGCTTTTTCTCTTCTAGTCTGTTGGGGGGACAAATAGTAGCTGTGTTTTTAATCGTTTTTTGTTGTAAAGAGAAACAGTTTAGTAAATCTCACCTGTAAATCTGTGTGTGAGTGTGTGTGTGTGTGTGTGTGTGTGTGTGTGTGTGTGTGTGTGTGTGTGTGTGTGTGTGTGTGTGTGTGTGTGTGTGTTTGTGTGTGTGTGTAAGTGTGAGTGTTTTTTTTTTTTTTTTTTTTTTTTTTAAAAGATATTTGGATCACCAAGGCTTAAAGTGTTTGATATTTGAATTATTGTTTTATGTCTCATGATACTTCCGAAATCATTACACTTTTGTCACTGGATCATTTCTTTAGAGAAAAATCTTACTGGCGCCCAAAATGTTTGGGTGGTACTGTATAAACCAGGGGTGCTCAAACTCGGCCCTGGAAGGTCTCTGTCCTGCAAAGTGTAGTTCCAACCCCAATCAGATACACCTGAGCTGGGCTAGTTAATCAAGCTCTTACTAGGCTTTCTAGGAACATCCATGCACACGTGCTGAAGCAAGTTGGACCTAAAATCTGCAGGACACTGGCCCTCTAGGCACCCCTGGTATAAACAGTTCAATGTACAGTTCATAGACTTCTAACATTACTGTGTTTTAACATTAAGAACATGTAAATGTGAAACAGGTGTTGTCATTGTCTGAAGCCCATCAAAACAGAATCTCCATTCATTTTTTACTTCACCTTTAGTGGTGGAGGTGAAGCAGAAAGCATCATAGTTCTCCCGTGTTTTGTGACGAGGCCCATAACTCCTGATGCCTGACAGAAGATCCCCTCCACAAGCCGGCCGTGGGTGCAAGACAGGGTAACTGACCGTCCCGTCAATCAGCCATCCAGCATTACACCAGTCTAATCCTTCAGTCCAGGCTGCAAAGATCATTCACAAGAGCATCAGGACATGAAACACTTAACAGTTTTCTTGGAATTGAATTAAACTTTTGGCTGAAGGTTTTCAACTGTGTGAAATTATGATTTTATTACCTCTGTAAAGCTGCTTGTAGGTGGCAAGGGTTGCATCCTGTTCAGCACAAGCTTCTTTAGCATCAAAGAAAGTAAATCTGTACCGTCCTTTTTGACTCTGATAAGGAAATACAACCCCTGAAATACATTATTAAAACAGAATGTAATAATTACATTATAATGGACATATTTAAAATATATGTAATGACAATAATTTAAAATATTATAAAAATATTTATAATACTACTATTAATAATATATTATAATTATTTTACATTTAGTAATATTGGAATTTCAAAAATTATAAAAAATCAAAGCATACTAGGAAAAATATTATTTTTTATCATTAGAATCAGTTCAAAAGTCATGTGCATTTACTATGACTTCTAATACATAACAATTATAACAAAACTATTATGAAATAAGTTAGCTATATTACTGTTGTTTATTATTAGTAGTAAATGCACATAAACTGATGCCAATGGTAATAATACAAATAATAAAACATCGTTATTGTTGTCATTACTCATTCGCATCATCTCGAATGTTATGCGCATTTACTACGACTGCTAATAAACAACAACTATTCAATTCGGCTAGTAAAATTCATGGCCCTTTATAGGTAAAAAAGCCGAGGTATTATTTGAAAATTATTTAAAAGATTGTGCCAGCCTGCCTACCCTCAATCCTCAGAGTAATAATGACACTTTCGTCCTCGATGCCGTTGATGAGTTCACAGCGGTAACTGCCGTCGTCTTCCAGCTCCAGGTCAGAGAGTCGCAGAGAAACGTCCAGATCATGAGCTCGCTGGAGGGCCGCTCGAGGCCCAACAGAGCCGTACTGCTTATCTGCATGACCGTTTGTGATGAGCACTATGTTCTCCACTCCACGAGAAGAGGGCTCGAGTTTAGTCCACTTCACTCTGTAATGCGATGGTTTGAATCTCATCACACAGGGCAAAATGGCTGCGTGTCCACGACGAGCAGAGACTTCAGCAAACACCAGAGGCTCCAGCAGGTATTTTAACTCTTTGTCCTTGTCTAAAATGCACATAATAGTTTATTATCATGTACCGAAATGTCATGTTATGGCTTTCAAATCATGTTTATATTGTAGTCAGATATTCTCAATTGCAGTTGTTAGGAGGCATTACCTTGATTATAGTGGTATTTTGCATTAATACAAGAGAAGAAACAGGTTGAGGTCAGTAGCAGAGCAATGAAGTTCATTGTGGATTTTCCTAAACAACATAAAAATGATGATTAAACAGTAAAAAATGCTGATTGTTTTAGCCCAAATTTGGGTCAAAGTAACCCAACAGACTAAAGAAAATCTTAAAGGGGTGGTCCACTCCGATATCATATTTTAAACTTTAGTTGATGTGTAATGTAGCTGCGTGAACATAAACAACATCTCTGAATGTAAGACTCTCAAAGACCAATGCAAAGACAAACATTGGCTGTTACAGAGTTAGCTTAGCAAAGCCTACAGCGAACGAAGTTTGGAGACTACAAAAAAATACATAGGGGCTAGTGAGATCACAAGGGTGAAGGGGCGTGGCCAGAGTCTCTGTAATGTTATGCATTTTAGAGAAAGCTAAAATGCCGTCCAAACATCCACAGAGCTTCTTCTGTTTCTGTATTTGGGCTTTCAAAGAACACGACACAAAGTGCTTATAATTTAATATTAATTATGTTCCAGAGAATTATAAAAAAAGATTTAGCTAGCATTTGACATAGGACAGCTTCCAGAATCTCTCCCAGCTCCGTGCTAAAATTGATCAATTACATGCCCAATTTCTAACGTTAATGGTATATTGTTGCGAGGATGTAAACAAAGATGTAAACAACGTTAATTGCTGTTTGGCACCACTAACAATTTAGCTAAAAATTCATATTTTTCAGTCAAACTGCTGTAAACAGCCACAGTCTTCAGCAGCACGTGCAGTGTCTCTCTATGCGGATGCTTTCAATGTCTCTATAGGGCCGCTTTCCCTGCTTTCTACATCTCGATTAATAAACTCACTAAAAATATATGTGCATTTTTTTATATTACTTACACATAATTATTCCGAATGTATGTGAAAGACAGTTGTCAGATTTTATTTTAGAGATCAGGCATGAGGTTCAACTGTGTGCTCTTCATTTTTCTGTGATTCAGGCAGCTAACGATGCTTACAAACTCTCTGTTTACACAGTGCAAAAGCGCATGCTTGTAGGAGCATGATGTGGTGATGTGGAGCTGATCTGTGAATCACAGCACATTATGTTAGCTGACCAATCAGAGCATTTTGAGGGCGGGCCTTTCAGAGGAACTAGGACATATGACAGTCGCTTTCATGTTAGCTGAGTAGCTGTACATAAAGTAAGATATATGAAAAAATAACGTGTATTTCTACAAGTGAAGCATGAGCACATATTACCTTACATCTTATAAACAGAGCCAAGCCTTAAAGTACACTGTGGACCACCCCTTTAAAAATGTGCAACCACTTGTTAGGATTCCTCTCATATTTCACTTAGAGCAAACTGATGATTGGAGGGGCGTGGCTAAGCATATTTTGCCCATGTCATCAATCTGACATCATCAGAGGACAATTTTGATTATTTTTTTTAATGGTTTAACTTGCATGGATTACAAGTTTACTTTTATTTATTGATGTAAGTTAGTACATACAATAGTAGCTAGATAAGGCCACTATAAAGTGTCACTCTAAAGTGACACTTACATTTTTAACCCAGTGGTAAGACTTGTCAACAATTGACCCAAATTTGGGTTCAAATAATTCCAAAGCTACAAAGAACAATTTAAGTCTTACCTTGGTCTTCAAACTTTCTTTCTCAGTTTAAAAAGTCCATGACTGCGCTGGTGTTTGCATCAGCTTTGGCTGCAGTGGATCAGGATCATCTGACGAGTGCTGGATGTGTACAGGCTTTTCTCTCCTCTGCTCCAGATGTTAATGAGCATCACACAGACTTTCATTGTTCCTCTCAGCAACTCGGCAACAGACCACAAACGCATGAAGTCAGCAAACTTCAGATGATAAAGGTAACTTCAGAATGTTGAGGTATAGCTTAATCTTAAGATTCAAAATGGAAATTTACTGGCCCACACAGTGTGTTTTTGTTGGGAGAAAAGCACAATTAAGATGCTCAGTGATTAAACCAGTCAATGGATGTTTACTTTTTATGTTCATTCATTCATTTATTCATTTACCTTTGGCTCATTCCCTGGTTTATCAGTGGTCACCACAGCAGAATGAACCATCAACCAATCCTGCATATGTTTTAAGCAGCGGATGCCCTTCCAGTCCCAATATGTTCACTCAGTATCTGTATATCACACTTTGTGTCTAGAAATAATATCAAACCCACTGACATCTGCAGACAAATGATTATTTCGTTAGTATGGTCATATTTTTTAATAATATTTTATTTCTGTGCATCTATGTTATTTATTCATCCTAAAGATTTAGTTTTGAACAAAGAAAGTAACTTATCAGTTCACTGTTATAATGTTTGTTAATATCTAGAATAAATTTTTATTTCTTATTTTTTTTGTTTTTATTTGCATTTTTTAATTAACGTTTGCCCAATTTTAAGTAAAATTTTATTATTATTTTTTTATTTGTTAAACGCAGGTTTTAATAATTTATTAAGAGTTATAACTTAATACTTTTATCTATAACTCTATTCTATCTTTGATTTTTATTAAAAAAAAGTCAACAATACTAATAATAATATCCTTGTTACTTATGGTTATTTTAAGGTGTCATATCCCATGTCACATTTTACCAAGGGATCATGTTATGCAGTTCCGTTGATCGGTTTGCCTGGCCGGAACAGAAAGAGGAAGAGGAACGGCCCATAGTTTGTGTTTTCATTCTCTCCGTCTCCCTCTCTCTAACCTGTGAGCACAATGACAGCTTTGTCACAGAACTCCCCCAGCACTGACCCGCGGCCAGCAGAGAGCATGAAAACACGAAAAGGAAACAAGCAGTTGGAGGAGAAGCGCTATAATGGGATTCAAGCATTTGTCAGTGTACTTTGCATTGTGCTGCTCCATCAATGGCTCTTTTTGTCATCTTCCACTGTTTGTGCTCGCAATGGCATGTCTAGGTGACCTTTGTAGCTCTATTTTCATCTCTTTTACTCACAGTTTACAATATTAGTACTGTATTTCATTCCTTCTTAAGTGTATTATCGTTATTTATGCCTGCATCTATTTGACCATAGACTTTTTTTTAAAAAACAAGCTTGTTCGGGGATTTTTATATTTTATATGCATTTTATATATGGTAATTTTTATTATTATGCTTTGTTGAACCAACTTAGTGAAACCAAGTCCTTGTGTTAAATAGCAATTACTGTGGTAAAAGTAAAAATACTGATAGTTCACCTAAAATAGTTTACCCAAAAATGAACATTTTGCTATTGTTTAAATGACAAAAAAGCACTAGTCATTGACTTTCAGAGTATTTTTATTCTTTCTATGGGTGTCAATGTGTAACTGAGAGTCTGAGACAGTGTTAGAATCCATATGCAGAAGTTTATTAATGGGATTAGGCAAAAACATCAACGGGTAAACAAGTGGAGAGTCGGCAACATGTAAGCAGTCCAAACCAAACAACAAACACAGGGGCAATTCCAGGAGACGTAGTAGTAATTCAGGTAGAGGTTCAGTGCAACAATATTCAGTCCAAAACAGATCAAGATACACAGGGGCAAATCCAGAAGACGTGGTGAGAAGGCAGGCAAAAGTTCAAGGCAACAATAAGCAGTCCAAAACAGAGCAAGAGGGCAAAGACAAATTACGTACATGATCAAGGCAGGTAGGGTCATACACAGAAAAGCAGTCATGAAAGTCACTTGGAACAACGCTTGGTAAGGCAGGTGAACTGGCAATACTTCACGAGGAAGCATGGCCTGAGTTCTCACTGAAATACAGCACAAACAGGAAGTGACTGCAGAGGTAGTGGACCTGAGACAGTAGTCGGACGAGGGCTCCCTCTGCTGGCATGGCGTTACACAATGGTTGCTGGTGTCCAACAATGCAGCTTAAGTTTTTTTGCCAGTTTTAGCACAGCACAGTTATCATGTTCATGCCACATTATCATACACCACATTAATTAAATAGCTATTACATATGCACTGATTTGTGTGGTGGTCATTGGTGTGCTGGTCTAGGAGCATTGTGATAAGGAGCATTGTTGACATGTTGTTTTGAGACAACTGAAATAGACCATTGTCCAATAAAAATCTGGTCGAAAGTCAGTGGTGCATTTTTTTTAATAGCATGTTAGTAATATTCACCTTTCCTATTACTGGGTTACAGTTGGAAGGGCATCCGCTGCGTAAAACATATGCCAGGGTAGTTGGCGATTCATTTTGCTGTGGTGACCCAAGATAAATCAAAGCAGAACAGATTCTTGCTAGTGAAGCATTCAGTTTTTTGCTTACACAGTGCACCACTTGAATGACATTTTATCGCACTTTGCTTGTTATAAATAGTGACCCTTTATGCGTGATCCATCAGCAGATCGCTTGTATGTCAGTTTATAGACAAACCAGCCGATTGACGTGACTTTAAAAACACTCCAGTGTCCCTGTATCTGTGGTTACACTCAGTAAACAGCGGTGAGTTTGGTGAACTGATGACCTTCACAGCCAATTACAGTAATTTCTTTTTAAAAACGTTCTCAATAGCTCTCTAATGTTAACACGAAATGGACGTTTTTAGAAAATTTGGTATCAATTCATACCAAATACTAGTATCGTGAACTGAATAAATGTCAATTCCACCACATCTCAATATACAGCTTTTATTTCAAATTGAAATAAATTATGGCAGTCAAGCATTGTCTAAGATCATTTTTGTATCTAGTTTAATCAATCTTTCCACAATATATATAATAATTATACATTTGTCAATGAAATGAATTAGTTGTATTCTGAATTGTACACCTGTCACACTCTAAAGTTTAATAATAATTTGGTTAAGAGTTTATTAGAAAATAAATAAACAGAATTTGTATATTAAATAGAGCATGAACTTATACATTGCGAATGCACTTTTAATGTATGATGAGAACTTTTTAAATATTTTTTTTTAAATGTGTGTGGTGATGGAAATGACAGTGGTGGAAACAGTTTATTTTGAAAAAATGAAAAATAGCTTCACTGATTAGCTTTGAATTGATACTAGCCATTCATGTATACAAAACACTCTTATTTACCTTAATTTTCTTTGATTTTTAAAAACATCTTTGAAGGTACTACATGTTTGGAAATGACGTAGAATAAATCCATTTCCTTATCAAGCAATATTTACCTTGATTTAGACACCTAAAAGGAGGTTAAATAAAATGGAAAATATTTAATAGAAAGGTAGTACATTTTTTAAAGTAGGTTTTATTGTTAGTGTGACAAAGAAAGAGAAATTTGAACAAAATTATATATTTTTTTTGGATATATGATCAAAAGATATAAAAGTCCCCATAGTTAAAGAATTACCCATATATTTATCTATGTGCATTGTTGACTGTTTAAAGTTTAAAAAATAAGAAAAACAAATACAAATATTTATATAAAACTATTTGCTAATTAGTGGCTTTACAAATAAGCATACTATATTGTTATAAGAAAACAGGTAGAAACTGATGTACTAACTATTTAGGTTAGATATTGGCCAAAAAATATTTTATGCTAGGTATTTTAGTGTATTAAGATCTGTTGCAACTGCCTGAGGGAAGGCATTTGAACAGTTTGTCCTTTGGGTGAGAGGGGTCTTGAATGATGTTATCTGCCCATTTCCTCATTCTGGAGATGTACAAGTCCTGGAGGTTGGGCAGGTGCACACCAATAATCCTCTCAGCTGTCCTGACAGTCTGCTGCAGCCTTCTTATGTCTGATTTGGTTTCTGAACCAGACACTAATTGAAAAACACAGAACTGACTCTATGACAGCCAAGTAAAACTGTCAGAAGCCTTTGTGGCATGTTGAATTTCCTGGCAAAGGAAATAATACCTCTGCAGGGCATTTTTCACAATAAAGTCAATGTCAGTGTCCCACTTCAGGTCCTAACAGATGGCGGTGCCCGGGAACCTGAATGACTCCACTGCTGCCGCAATGCTGTCCATGATTTTGGAGGGGGAGAGCAGGGGGGTTTCCCCTCAAGTCCACAACCATCTCCACTGTTTTCAGTTTGTTCAGCTGCAGGTTGTTAAGACAGCACCAGACATCCAGCTGCTCAACTTCTTGTCTTAATGCAAACTTCTCACTGTCCCGGATGGGCCCATGATTGTGGGGTCAACTGCAAACTTCAGGAGCTTCAAATCTCTCCAGTGCTGTCAATCTTTGTGCATAAGCACATACACACACATTCCCCAGCTCACTCTTTAAGTTTGTTTGCCCAGCCCCTGGGAAAGTAGAGTTTGAGTCAAGGTTGTGTAGGCTTAATGATGCATGTGCTCTCAGTTACCAAAGACAGCGATTGACAAATGGTAAACTTGCCCCAGAACAATCTTGCACAACTCTATGTCAAGCCCAGACTTGATGTTCTGTGCCCCAACCCCCCACTGCCACCTTCATATATAAATTGCTTTGGGTCCCATATCTTTCAAACCATCACACATGTTCCAGCAGTGTTACATTACAATACGTGGAAAACAGTTTCCAAACACTCTACCTTTTAAAGGTATGGGAATGGTGAGATTTAACACAAAAAAAAGATAAATAAATGTTAGAAAGATCTATTTAAAGCAAAATAAATGCATACCACAATTTCTGCAGTCTTGTTTTTAACATTTTATTTATTAATTAGAATTATTACATTAATAATAATAATAACAACTTAAAAAAAGCATCTATAACTGTGCGTTCACACTGAAGGC